TTTATTTATTTATTTATTTATTTATTTATTTATTTATTTATTTATTTATTTATTTATTTATTTATTTATTTATTTATTTATTTATTGGACTTAGCTATTTGTTCTGCTATTACCACTAAACCCATTTGACAGTTTACAAATTACTTTAACCAAAAGGGGGGAATCTAACTTTGTGGAACATAGGGACAAATGCCACTTGATTAACATAATAACAAACAATTCCAGATTTTTATAACAAAGACAACTCAAAATGGGATTTAAAACAGATTTACCTATTTCTAAATATTATCTATAGCCCATCAATGCTTTTCGTTGGGATCCTAGAATTATTCTTAAACCTGTTGCTCAATGTGATAAATGCATATTATTTCCCAGCTAGTATGTTGAGCTCAACATACCAAAATGGACTGGCTGGGGGATTTGGGGAGTTGAAGTCCACACATATGAAATCTTCCAAGATTGAAAAAGGACCGGTCACTGCTTTCTACAAGCGTTTCCCAATTCCTCTCTCCAGCTGTCTCCTCTGTTTGGAATATAATCAGGGGTGGGTTGCCGCCAGTTTTACTACCAGTTTGCAACCCATGCTCAACGCGTGTGTGCGCTGTGTGCATGCATCCATTGTTCGATGTAAATTGTTCTTCAGGCATGTGCAGAACAATTTACAATGAATGTGCATGCACAGTCACTAAAAACCAAAATGGTGGCAGCCAGTGGCAGCGAGGGAACTGGTTCGGGGGCATGCATGGCAGGCCTGGGTTGCTGCTGGTTCTGCGACTCAGGCCTGAATTCCACTACCAGTTCAGCTGAACCTAGCCAAACTGGGAGCAACCCACCTCTGAATGTAATCCAGTAGACCATTCCCAATGTGGCAAATCTTTGACTGGCAGTTCCCCCATCCAATTACAGTGCAGTGCTGTGCAGACTGTGTTAAGAGAGGTGCTACTGAGTCTCAGCGGGTTGAGATGGGAAGAAAGAGGCGGGGGCTCTACAGCATTCCTCTGGTTGGTCATCAGGAGGGGTTGCAGCCATCACAACTTTGGGTTATGTAGCTTTTGAAGTATCTGTCATAACTCTGACCAGTTGTTAAATAATAAGTCATGCCTCAAGGGCTACCTGTCATTTTTATTTACTTGTAATAGTTTTCATTTAATAATATATTAATTTGTATAATAATTTATTGTTTCATTTTCTATTTTATTTATTAATATTTTATGTACTACTACCATATTAAGAATTCTATTAGCATTAAAAGAGATTATTCAATAAAGATGCACAATGGGGTTTGGGATGTACACTAAAAATAATTCTTCCAATTCTTCAATTAATTATTTAAAATTCATTCTTTTATCCTCAGGTTCACATCTACTACAGCTGCTCCTGTAAGGACAAATCCTTATTTCTCTTCTAATGGAGGTGGTGGCAACAGTTATTAGAACATTTTGTTTTATTAGTTTTGTTATTTTCTTGGAAATATGGACACTTTAGAAATATTTTAAAAATTCTTATAATTATACATTTTGCTCCAAAGTTAAGGAATTCAGATCCAAATCACATGTGTAATTTTAAGGCTAAAAAATAGGCACCCATCCAAAAGAGCAACATTTTATTTAGCAAGAATGGATAAACATTTCAGCACTTTTTAAAAGAAGTATTATTTTTTTTAAAGACAAGATATTTTTAAAGTTTTTTTTAAAATGACAAATATCTTTCCTGCTTACAAGTTGAAATTTTCTGTAATAAAAGTGGCTGATTAAAAAAAACTAAATCAACAAAATGCTGTTGGTAACTTTTGGATAGAACTGTATCCATCTGTTATTTGAAAAACTGAATCAATTCATTGGATATGATTGCATATTGAGCTAAGCAAAAATGCTCCTTATTTCATTTTAGATTAAAGCACTGCATGAACCATCTGTTATTATTTATAAATCATGGTTTAAGGCCACTAATGAACCCAGCCCATTGTAAAATATTCAACAAACTATGTTGCAATATAAGAATTCAATCAATACCTGGTTTTAGACCACTGCTTTTAAAAATGTTTCAGATGATGTGAATTTGTAACTTCTAAAGAAACAAATGGCAACACTTAAAGAATTTACTAGCATCACTCTTTCTCTGATCAAAATGAAGAAAGCAATCAGCTTTGCTGGATATGCCTGGGAAAAAGAATGTACAGTATGTCTGATGAAGCTGAATACCAAAAGAGATGGCTGTTTATTTATATTTATTTATTTATTCAAATTGGTTAATAGCTGCCCAACGACAATAGACTCTGGATAGCATTTGAGACCAAAAAAAAAAATCCACAAAAGGAGATAAAACATAAAACAGAAAGCAATTTTAAAAGCAATATGTTAAACAAAACAGGAACAGCAAAAATATAGTAATTCATTAACCATTTGCCATTGCCCGGTTTAAAGAGATTTCCAGAACCCTCCCTGGGGGATGCTGGGTGGTGGCCATGACAGAGAAGGTCCAATTGCTTGGTCTTATAAGATTATTGTATTATTTATTATTTAGGAAATTTATATGCAATCTAATTTACTATCAAGTCACTTTTGATGACTGAAATGGCCAGCAGAAATGATTTGAAGCAAATATCAGATATCCAGTCACGATACCAGTGATGGCAAACCTTTTTGTAAACAGGTGCCAAAATTGTTCGTTCATGTGTGTGCTCCACAGCTACAATGCAACGTGCCCCGCCCACCTGTGCATGCATGCACGCCTCCCCAGGATTCTTTTCACCCTCCCCAGGCTTCAGGAAAGCCTCCAGAGCCTGGGAAGGATGAAAACGTGCCCAACAGGCTAACAGGAAGTTTGGAAATGATCTGTTTCCGGCTTCTGGAAGGCCTCTGGGGGGGGCTGGGGAGGCCGTTTTCACCCCCAGACTTCAGGAAAGCCTCTGGAGCCTGGGGAGGGTGAAAAACAATTGGCCCATTGGCCAACCATTTTTCACCCTCCCCAGGGTTTTTGAGGCTTTCCTGGACCCTAGGGAAGGTGAAAACAGCCTCCCCCAGCCCCCCCCCCCCCGAGGCCGAAAATCAGCTGGCTAGCACATGCATGCACACTGGAGCTGACGGCTCACGGATCAGCAGATATGGCTCCATGTGCCACCTGTGGCACACATGCCATAGGTTCACCATCATGGGCCTATGCCATACAGGGCTTTATAGGTAATAACCAGCACCTTGAATTTCACTGAGAAATCAACTGTCAACTAATGCAGCCATGACATATGGGCATACCAAAGGCCTCCTGTTACTGCTTATGCCATTACATTTTGAGCCAGCTGTAAATTCTGGGTGGTCTTTAAGAGTAGCTCCATATAAAGTATAACTTTATTAAAAAGTGTTTCTCTCAGGAATGAACATACATACATGCATACATACATATATATTGAAACTTGATCAGGGATATCTATGTTACCGGAATGAAACCAAACCTATATAACTTTTTTTATTGTTTACTAAAGAATGTACACCAAGATCTTTCTACACTGCAAGGAAAAAGTCCTTTCTCTGCCTTATGCGTTGTCTGTGCCTTCCTCAATCTCAGATCCCCCCTAGAGAACTGGGAATTTGAGGTTCTGCATAGAATCTTAGCTGTTCCTAGTATTGCCTTCTTATGGATAGAGAGCTCTAAATGTTGTTCCTTGGATCTGCTGGAGGCACTCTCCTAGCTTAGGAGTTATAGTCCCAAGTGTTCCTGTCAACACTGGGACAACTTTGGCCTTCACTTTCCACATCCTCTCCCATTCCTCCTTTTGGCCTTGGTTCACCTCCAGTTTCTCATACTTCTTCCTGGTGTTGCTGTAATTTGGCACCACTACATCTATCACTGCTGTTTTCTTGTCCTAGTCTACTATCACAATATCTGCTTGACCAGTACCTGCCTGTTTGTTGGGATCTGAAATACCCATGGGACCCTAGTTTTTTTAATTCTCCATAGCTTTTTGTGGGATCTCCCAACTAAGACTTAGGAGGACCTAGCCCACATTCTGTACAGATGTTCCTGTATACAATGCCAGCTACTTAATTGTGCTGTTCAGTGTATGCTGTTCACACCTGCTTCCTTACACCCTACCACTATGTGTTGACTGTCTCTGACAATTCTCTACATAACTGCCCTTGGATCCCATCTAGTGTGATAGAGCCCAATGTCTATGAATCTTTTGCTTAGTGTCTATTTTTGTTCTTTTCATCCAGCCCTTTCCACCACTGATAGGTTTCCCACTATCTCTTCAGTTATCTGTTGATGGTACATACAAGATCTTGCCTTGCCATGGCACGTTTTCTGCTTGATCTCCTTCCCAAATCTGCTGTTGCCTCAGGCATTCTCTCAGCAACTCATCTTTGGGTACCATCTTACTACTGTATTCCTGAGTGCTCCAGGTTTCATTCATGACAGTGGCTTTGATGCTCACCAGACTCTGAGTTCACTCTTTCTGGTTAGTGTATGATCACTGGCTGTTGGACGTGGCATGGAAACCTGTGTACATTGTGAAGAGCTTCTGGGACTTCACATCGGCAGCTTCCCTGTCCTTTTTGGCCAGCTCACTATTGACAGAGTATCTAATCACTGGCAAAGCATACATCTTGATGGCATGGATCTTGTTCTTCCCATTGAACCAATTCTTCAGAACCGGTCTCATCCTTTGGTGCTACTTGGATATTGCTCTCTTCCTTGCCCTCACCATAGTTCCCATGTGATATCAAGGTACATGCAGTTGGTCTGTATGTCTGCTATAGTTCTACCCCATCAGCCTTATTTTTCCTCTCTTGACTACCATCTTGCTACACTTCTACTGTCTGAATGATATCCTCGCTGTTGATCTGTATCAGGTGGATCAGCAAGTTGATGTGTCAGATCCCTATTGTTATACTGCTATTCAAGTGGGGAGGGACCCCGGATTCTTTTACTCATGTATTACTCTCATCCTGTTTTCCTGTGTATCCTGTAATTCCCTAGTTTATAACTTTTACCCTGTCACCTATTCTGCCCTGTGCTTTGATTTACTTTGGGGGATGTACAAGGGGGGTAGGGCCATCTGTTTTCTCTCAGTTTGGAAACCTCACAGAAGAAGCACATGAGAACAACTCCTCATCTCTTTCTCAGGACAACTGTTTCCACAACATCTTTGCATCTGTGGATTGGCTCATCAAACATCAAACTAAGAGGAGGGGTTTCTAACCACTTTAGCCTAATGAAATTGCCTGGGGGAGGGAACTCAGATCCTGCTTTGCATTTCCTTGCATTCAATAAAAGTTTCCTTTTGAAATGCTAAAGTTTCAACAGTCCATGCTTTCTTGAATAGGAAAGAGAGGCAGGTCCTTACACGATGCCTCATTCATTCTTTGCTTACAATTTTATGTCATCCATTTAGAGGAGATGGCTGATGGTAGTTCTACTCTTGAACATGTATCCATGTCCAATATTTGTGTTTATCTGACTGAGGGGGGTTCAAGCCTGTGAACAGCAGCAGGAACAGTGCATCACCTTGGTATATGCCACATTTGATGATTACTTGTGTGACCCGTCTTAAGTTGAATTCCAGTGTTGTCTTCCACAGTCCCATTGAGTTCTTGAGGAAGATTCTGTTGACTTTGTACAGTGCCAGGCATTCACAGTTTCATATATGTGGCATTGAGTTATAACTTTTTTTATAATAAATCCAGGCTATGCTCAGATTGATCTGTCTAGATCTTAAGTCTTAGGTGAATGCTCTATCAAAGCAACTGGTGCTTTGAGCCTCTGCTATTGTTCCCAATGCCTTTCTGAGCTGTGCTCATGTACTAGCTCAGATTTCCTTAGCTTGGTGTCTATGATATCTGTCATGATTTGATAGATAATAAAGTGTGTGTGTTTTATGTGCGTAAAATGTCAAGATCTGAAGAAGATCAGTTCTTGTTGGTTACAGCTCAACATGAGTGATTTACTCACTAAGAAGCTTCCAATAAGTTCCATTCAGTTCCTTGGAAAACAATTTGAAATCCACAGACTAAATTCAATAATATTGATATTTCTACGGTGAACAGTAGTATGGCATTCTCTCTGTAGAAACTTATTGGCTTTTGCTCCCTGACTCTGGGAAAATTCTGCACTGGTGCTAACAATGTTTCTCCAGTATTCGTAACACAATTAAAGTAAATGAGATAAAACAATCATCTCGTTGAATTCCATTTCTCTTTCTCTCTTCTCTCTTGTTTTTTAGCAAGCTGTTGATGACAAACTAGGAGCCCAATTCATTATTGAATTACTTTTACCACAAAGGAGTTCATTAAGTTAGAGTATCCAATAAAAAACATCATCTTTCAACTTGCAGGAAGGCTCTTTTCTTTAAAAAAAGAAAAAAATCACTTAGCAAAAGAAGAGCAATTCTTGTTCCTGCATTCCCATCTGCTGTGTTGGCCTGCAGCCTTTTAAATTTACATGATATAGACTTTTTAATAAACAACTAGGAAGTTTGTATAATCTAAGGCAGAATTATCTAGATCTGGATCACTCAACTTGTTACCCTCCAATGCAGTATAACTAAATTGATACTATGAAGTTCTGGAAGATATAGACTGATGTATTTTCTTAAAAAGTGGGCTGTCTGATGAATTCTACCTTATAACAGTTTGGGACAGCCTTATTCACAGTTTTATCCTAGTCTTCTTCTAAATAATCTGCCTTTAACCAGCTCTCTTGTCTCTATTCTGAAAATAGGTATCTCAAGACAATATTAGAGGGATAGGGTTTTATCTTAGAATGCACATTTACACATGTAGAATACTGATATATATAATTTTAACAACCATATTTTTCGGAGTATAAGACGCAACTCCCCCCCCCCACAAAAAAGGGTGAACATTTGGTTGAATCTTATACACTGAATGTAGCCCTACTACTCCTGGAAACACCAAACCTGAAGTAGTCAGCAGCAGCCTGAAGATGACGAATGTGACTTCGTCGAAACGTCGCAAAGACATATCCAATTCTACGCGGGAGAAAACCCGAACAACTAGAGACCTACATAGTAACACCCGCAGCCCCCTCTAAGTGTCAGCCTATTGCCCCCAACAATCTGGGTCCTTATTTTACCCACCTCAGAAGGATGGAAGGCTGAGTCAACCTTGAGCTGGTGAAATTTGAACTGCAGAATTGCAACTAGCAGTCAGCTGAAGTAGCCTGCAGTACTGCACTCCAACCACTGCGCCACCTCGGCTCTGCACAGTATTTAACAATGTGCGACATACACAAAAAAGCAGCATTTCAATTCCCTTATATCTTATCCAAGGCAGATACATCTACAGTATGTACCAATGTGTGTCAACCTTGGCAAATTTCAGTTGTGTGGACTTCAACTTCCAGCAATGCTGGCTGAGGAATTCGGAAAATTGAAATCCACACAGCTTATATTTGCCAAGGTTTAGAAACACTGCTGAATCCAATGAATAGATATTTGAAAACTTCAAGGGATGAGTCACTTGTAGCAACTGTACCTGGATCTAAACATAATATGCCCTATTTGAGTTTGGGCTGCTGAAAACTATTGTTTTTATTATGTGAAGGTAACTGATTAAAGAAGTCATTGTTTATCATATGTAAAGCCAAGCAGGGAACTAAGAGGAGTTCATGGTGACTGAATCACATTCCATGCCAGGGGGCTGTTTGTTTCAAGCTGTTTCCCCCTTAATCACAGTTTATTTTTTAAGAATCTGTGAAAGCTGAAATAGTTCAGTGAAGGCCGAGCCCTTACCTGAAGTATTTCTTCAAAAGTTATGAAAGGTGTATGTCCAATTACCTTTAATGTTGACTGACTCTCTTTCTGTCCATTCCTTTTCACCAAGATATGATCTGCTCCGTGTCCACATATTTCTCTTATTTTCTCTCTTTTTATTCATACACATTTTGAATACAGTGTATTGTCAGGGCATATCATTTACAAAAAAGCAAAGAAAGAATAAAAAAGGATATTAAGACATATACTAATAACGATAATAAGTGTGTAACAGAATAATTTTAACAACCATATTTTTCGGAGTATAAGACGCAACTCCCCCCCCCCCACAAAAAAGGGTGAACATTTGGTTGAATCTTATACACTGAATGTAGCCCCACCCACCCCCACCAGAGGCCAAAAACACAAGGCATGGAGGCAGTGATGGTCTGTGGCAATTCCTACAGCCTGGAACAGCTGATTGGGGGTATTCCAGCACTCTGATCCACCTGCCAATCAGCTGTGCTGAATCAGGCTGCAATAAGTGTTAAAGCTGACTTGGCTGGTCAGAGTTTGCAGCAGCAATCTCATTCAGAAAGCACAGTGACTGATTCATCACGATTCAAAATAATAATCATATACAATACATTACCAAAAGCAGGTTTTCCAAGTTAGCAGTAAATACAAGCAAAACACAAGCAGTTTCACTTTCAGTTCTTGGCTAAGCCAGGCTACTTCCTGTCTCCTTGCTCACACAGCAAATTTCAAAGTCCAACAGCCCTCATTGGCTGACTTAGTTGTTATGCCTATTCATTGGCTGACCTTGTTACCATGTGTCACCCTTGAATACCATGGATGCTGGTAGGCAGAGGCAGAATTTTTTTTCTTATTATTTTCCTACCCAAAAACTAAGTGCATCTTATACTCTGGAGCACCTTATACACCGAAAAATATGGTACATTTCTCTTTATATTAGATTGTTTATAATTCTGTTAATTATATTAGCATATTTATAATTATAAACTGGGGCACACAGTGGCTCATTGGCTAAGAGCTGACTTTGTCGATCAAAAAGGTCAGCAGTTCAATGGTTCGAATCCCTAGTGTTGCATAACAAAGTGAGCTCCCATTACTTGTCCCAGCTCCTGTCAACCTAGCAGTTTGAAAGCATGTAAAAATGCAAGTAGAAAAATAGGGGCCACATTTGGTGGGAAGATAACAGAATTCCATGCACCTTCAGAGTTTAGTCATACCGGCCACATGACCATGGAGATGTCTTCGGACAGCGCTGGCTCTTCGGCTTTGAAACGGAGATGAGCACCATATGTGTGAGAGGAACCTTTACCTTTAATTATAAACCATCTTTATATTTAATTCATATATAGCAATAATCTTTCTTCATCTAATTTCTACCTCTTATCTCTAACCACTCATAAAGTCTATTCCATATAAAGTAATATTCTGTGTCTTTGTCCTTTATTTTTAATGTCAATCTGTCCATCTCTGCACAGTATAATATTTTCTGAAATACATCCTCTTTTAATGGAGTGTTCTTATTTTTCCAATATTGTGCAAACACAATCCTTGCTGCTGTCAATAAATATATAGTGCCTTTATCATAGCCCGCTGGCATTATAACCAACAAAAATATTTCTGGTTTTAGATCTATATGTTGCTTAATCATCTTTTTCCACCAAGTACCCTATTTTTGGAGTATAAGACACACCTTTTTCCCTCAAAAAAGAGGGTGAAAATCTGGATGCATCTTATACACTGAATACAGCATTTTTTGTTTCCCAAGACCCCACCCTCTTTGCAAAAATGGCTATGCATAGCCTTTAGGAGGCTTCCAGAGTGCTCCTGGGGGCTGGGGAGGGCAAAAATGAGTGAAAAATTGGTCATTTTTTTCTCGTTTTGGCCCCCCAGCCCCCAGGAGCACTCTATAAGCCTCCTAAAGGCTATGCATGCCCTATTTGTCAAAAAATGGCCCTGTTTTTGTGAAAAACGGGGCGTTTTTGGGAGGTCTGCAGAGTGCAAAAACTTTTAAAATATTTGCCTCTTCAAAATCTTGGTGCATCTTATACTCCGATGTGAATTTATCTATTTATTTATTTATTTATTTATTTATTTAAGTATATTTATATGCCGCCCAATCCCGAAGGACTCCAGGCGGCTTACAAAAAATATAAGGAAAAAAACACATAATGATAAAAAGAAAAATTTAAAAACAGCAACACCATCATACATTCATTCTAATCGGGGCTGGACCTCAACTGTGAGGTCAACAGCACCAGGCCTGCTGGAACAGCCAAGTTTTTACAGCTTTCCTGAAGGCCATGAGAGTGGGTATGATCCGGATCTCCGGGGGTAGCTGGTTCCAGAGAGTCGGAGCAGCCACAGAGAAGGCTCTCCTCCGGGGGCCCGCCAGCCGACACTATCTGGCTGACGGCATCTGAAGGAGGCCCAATCTGTGGGATCTTACCGGATACTGGGAGGTATGTGGCAGTAGGCAGTCTCGTAGAGACAGAG